TATTTGTAAACCACTAATTACCTTTTTTGGAAATCAGTGACCACTAGACTGAATAAAACAGAAATAAAAGAAAAAAATCAATCTTTTCCCCAGAGCAACTTAAATGGCTATTTGACATATATAACCATATCCATGTAACTGTCCCCTTCTAATGCATCTGTGATAATTAAAATATCAGGGCAAAGCCCAAAATAATTGTTATAACATCAAAGTGGAACAATGCAACCTTTGAATGTAAAAGAATTTGATTCTTATTGTATCATCCTTCATAACACCTGGAGTTCTGCTCAAGTACTTCAGTCATAGGGATAGTATAGTTAAAATCTAGGTTTCTAGGACATTTCTATGGACACTTTAAGGGGGGAAATAGCCTTTTGCATTTCAACATGGGAAAAAATTGAAGCTTTTTACCATTATCCTTCCAATTCACTTATTCCCCCTATTTCTCTAGTTACAAAGAGCATTGTTTTGACCATTCAGTGCAGCTTTAAATGACAATCCAAACATATAAGCACAGATTTTTTTTTGTGCAGTGCTATATGTTGTTTGTCATCTCTACAATCTGTAAGAGTATGGATTATTCTACTTTCATTTTCTTCAGCTGTTAAGCTCAAAGCCAGGCTCAATATTTATTTTGGCAGTTTTATATCCCCTTTGGACTGGAAGCAATGTCTGAAATTCTAGGATTTTTTCATGTTGTTGGTTTCACTGTCAAATTTGGTCAACATTGGAAAAAATACTCAAAAACCAGTCTCACTAATGACATATATTAGTTTCCCTCCAACCTGACCCCCCCTCTGCTCCTATGCTGCCATTCTATTAAAAGAAAAAATACAAAAGTTTAATGTGAGGCTAACTGGCAGAAAACAAAAGATACGGTGGCACATGAGGAGCGTATCAGTTAAATAACTCTGACAGTCCAAATTGCTTCATTTTTTTTCCCTTTTCCCTCAAGTATTACTGTAGAGTTAGCATCTGAGTGATAAAGCCTGGATTTTAATAATAGGATTTTCAGTGTAAAAGATCTTAAGCAAGCTAGTTAAATACAGTGGATGCCTCCAATCTACTTCATTAATCTCTGTAGTATTACCTTTAAATCTTTTATACAGTTTTATTTTTAGATTTGTCCATATTTTGGGCATTCAGTGCAGTAAATATGGTTCTCAGGGTATTCTTACAGCATGGTAGTTCGTGCATTACCGAAAGCACCCTCTGAATCTTCCTAATAATGCTGCCTAGCCAATTTCCACAGTATATCTTAACAGAACTTTACTGTGTTTTACTAATGGGAAATGAATCAGCTGAAAAATACTTATTTTAATAAGAGCTCATTGGAGATAAGCCCCTTGTACTAAGAAAGGACTGCTAAAAACCCACTGATTTTGTTCCTAAGAGGAAATGAAGTGTTGTAATTTATAAAGCCATTCTCCTTGCATATGTCTTCCTGAAGCAGTCTGTTTTCACTCACATTGCAGAAGTTACAGTTCCTTGCTGAAGGAGTCAAGTTGGTATTTTTTAGTGTTGGTTTTGCTGCAAGCAAACTACAAAATATATACAACTTTAATGTGATATGTCAATGTAGGTTTCTAAATGGAAAATGTGTTAAAAACTGTGTATGTATATGTACAAATTATTAAACGGTGGATCACTTAACGGACTTTGGATAATAATACTACTTTTGTGATGTTTCATCAAAATTTTAAAATCTGCTTGAAAAAAACCCAAAATATTCTATGTTTTGTATTATCACTGAAGCTGAATATCTTGTCAAATTGTTTGCAAAAGATTTATATGTGGAAAACTAATTTCTTCCCATAAGGAGAAACTTTCTTCCTCACAACTAAATGCCTTAAGCCTGCATTTATTTTTCACAAGTGAATGAATAAGTGAAATTAAATAAAAGCTTTTTCCCTAGCAGAAGAGAGATTGAGAGGCTGTTGTAAACACCTAATTTAAGGTGTTTACAGCACAGATATCTACATCTGAGGTACTTGTCTGGGTCACCACAGCCACCAGAGAAGCTTTTCTCCACATAAGTTATTTGGAGTGAGATCCAGCTGCCCAAGGGTAGATATCAATTTATGTGTGGGAGTTCATGTGAATTTGGAAAAAGTTTTTATTTTTCTTACAGTTCACACTGGTAAAAAGATGGGCAAAGTTGTGCTTTGCTTGGGTCATTCAACCATCTTTCAGAAGATCTGGAAGCAGAACCTCCCTTCTGACTTTTTGTTATATTTCATCATTTTCTCTCATAGTTAGACATGAGATTACATGTGTAGATTTCAAGTGGAGGTAAAGAATATTTGTAACATATCACTCTGAAATCAGATGGAGGCAAGAAATTATATTTTAATAATATATTTAGTAGAAATTTGCATTTTGAAGCAAAATAATGAATTAGTAAATAAACTCAGATATCTAGGCCAGATAATTCTATGTTTTTAAGTCTTTAAAGAGTTGGTCTCCAAAACACAGATGTTTTTTCTAAAGAGTTCCAATTATGAAGAAATTCTAAATGTCTTTATTCACTTTTAAAATAACTTCTTGTCTAAGATAGAGATTGATTTTTATTTCAGAGCTAAGCATGCTATTGAGCAGGAGCAAATACTCAGATTGAAATTCTCATCATATTCCCATTTAGTTGATATGGATTTTTTTAAGTTTTAAATTTACTCTTTCCTTGACAATTTATCTTTCAGGGATTTGAATATTCAGTGTTATTTTCCATTAGTAGGATATGGTAATTTACCCAATTTCTGCTTTCCTCCTTTTTTTTTTCCTCTATACATACTAGCAAGGCTATATTATACTTATTTTTCCCAAGTGATTAGTCATTAATGTTCTATAAAACTGTGGGCTACCAATATTTAAATATCTAAGTTGTGGTATACAGCAATTTATCATGTTTTCTTACCAATTTCATTGATCTCACATGTCATTTAAGGCTTAATTATGATTAAGAGTATTTAATGAATTCCAACTCACTTTAATAAATTGACCATACATTTGCTCAGACTTTATAAAGAACTTCTAAAACTGAACATTTTGAACTGTTAGATTTCAAATTAGAACGTTTTCAAATAAAGATAATTTGCCTCACACTTTGAGTAGCTGGCCAAACTCCGAGTTTTAAAGTGTTTCTTTTATTCTTTTATTATTATTATTTTTTTTTTTTTTTTTAATTTAGTCATGACAAATTTCTCAAACTCTCTTGAATGAGAACAACTTTCCTCTTCTTTCCATGTTATGAAATTTGTCAGGACTTTGTCCATGTGGATTTGTTAACACCAGGTCTTTAGATCTTTCATGTTAAATCATATTAAAAACATCCACAGAAGAAGACTTGGGTATATGGATGCCCATGCACGCACCTCCTTGAGTGCACAGTGAGAAAACTACTGGCTGATCCTAGGGACCTTTATTTTCAATCATTTCACAGCCAACTTAATCCTAATGTCTAACAGCTCTAGGATATAGTCACTCTTGTCCTTCTGCCAATGGGACCTAAGCAATGTAAAAACTGCCTGGAGACAAAAGGCATTTTTGGATAATGAAAATGGCTTTTTATTGGGCAAGTCTGTGCCTGAGGAATTTCTTTGGGCATTTCAAAGGGTGTGGTTGGTACAGGTATCTGGCTAGATTTTAAAACATGCTCCCTATAAAATCTCTGAAGAAAGATGACAGAAATAGTCCCGTATCTATGGGCATATGTGCTACCAGTGCTTGCACATGTTTCAAGTTCTTTATGGTACTAGTGGGTGGGGTAAAACACTGTACTTGTACAAGTTTTGTACAGTTCTGAGGCTCTACCATTTTCAGCACAACGACATGCAGTGCTTAGCAAAGCTTAGCATACGAACCTACTGCACAGTTTTGTAAATCTCAAGAGTAAAGGATGGAAAATAGATTTTTCAGAATGAAATTAAACAATAGACTAAAGTTGTTTTCCTTGTGTCTGTGGCTTCTACCTGGTGTTGACACAAAATATTTTTCTTTCTTTCCAGGCTCTCTCAAGAACTGTGTACTTTTTGACTACAATTTTCTTTAGAGATTGAGTTCTTTATCATAAATGGCAGTGTTAGATAATACATTTAAATGTATCCTTGGTAATTCATTATTTTTTTTAAAAGCTAGACTAACCACTGCAAAAAGGACAATAATAGAAATGCCGAAGCAGTAATCAAAGAGGGAAAATCTTTGTTCAAATCAAAGAACTATAGATTCCTACTGTGATTCTGAGTTATCACATCTGTCAGGATTTTTTATTATTTTACAGATCTGGTTGTAACCTTAGTAACCAGGTATCCATAGTAACATATATATTCAAAGAAAAATGTTTTATCAAAACTTTTTTGTGATCTGATTTCTGAAGTTCTGGTAGACTGGTAGACTGCTCATTTCCGGAGGAAATTAGAATCTAACTTTTCCACTTTTTAAATACTTTGTATCACATCACAGATTATCATTCCCAAAATAGTATCTAGTTGTATAAATAATAGTTGTGTCACTGTGTGTCAATCATGAGGGCACAGATAGCTGCATCTTACTGTACATGGTGTATGTTGAAACTAAATATTGAATTAAATAGAATATTGTAGAACATAACACGTGGACATGCTTATTTTACCATAGAGTAGAAAACACTAAAAGGCTATTTCTTATTCTACATTAACATAAATAATAAAAATTGGAAGCATTAGAGATGCATTTATATTAATTTTGCAACATCTTTAAATAGATAAGGAAAATGTCTTTGCAGCTTTATAACTTTTGAACAAATATAAATTATTGAACTTCTAAGAGATGGATTGAACATCTTGAAAAAAAATCTGAACAACGTGGAGATACAGTATAAAAATTAGAAAGCAACAACATCCAGCTAATCATTTACATTCTGAAAGAGTGTTAAGTTGGAAAACATTATCTGCCCTCAAGCAGTCAGAATGAGCATTTTATTTCAGGGAAAGCTGGAAATGTTGATCATCTGTTGGTTAGGTTGTGCTTACAGTCCTCACGCTCCATGAAAGTGGGAAATGCTGTAAGTGATAAAACACATGAGACAATATTTTCTGTATAGACAGGATCATCAGGTTTATTGATCTGGCACTATAAACTTTGGATAGTAAACTGAATGGTTTGGTGGCTGGAGGATTCTTTGATCATATGTTATCAATCAACATTTAATAAAATTAGAATTCTGAAATCCTCTTCAATATATGAAATGGATAATATACAAATAAATGTATTCAATGCATGTTATATTTCATTTAAGAAAACCAACCAACCAATAATCATGTTTCCAGAATCCAATTTGTTACTGTACACCTCCAAATTTCCTTATTAGAAAAGGACAATTTTCTAATTTTTTCTTCAGGTCATAGGTTCTTTGTTGTCACATAAAAAAAAAACTTCTCAGCAACCCATATATGATTTCATCTAAAATTTCATATATTTGTATTAATAATGTAGCATTTTTTATCTATTAATTTTGTAATTGTGCAATATAGGCTTAAATGATCTTTTAACATATTAGTTACTTTAATTCTAATATCTTTCTTCTCTAATGTAAGTAGGGCTAATACTGTTTTACTTTCTTCCTATCAAGTTTTTTTAGTCCTAATTCTCCACAATTTTATTTTCTCATTACTACACTGCAAACAGAATATAGGAAAAAGGTACTCACTAGTATCCCACATTGTTACAGTGATCCAGGTTATAGATGCAATTCAAGAACACTTCATACAGTCTACCAATCAGAAGATGATTTAAGATTAGAAGATAATAGAAGCAATAGGATATTTCAAATAGAGAATTGAAATTGAAATGAAATGAAAACCTTTAATGTTTCTCATGCACTTGAATAAATTGAATATAAACTCAGTCGAATAGATGGTCATTAATCTATATAAAGGAATTTAAATATGAGTTAAAAGATACATTTTGACATGGATGAAAAATAACTTTAAAAACCAGGTTTTTTTTCCGCAATGTGTAAAGCTGCTTTTTTGATAAAAATGAAAAGTGATTCCATCGCAGAATTGATTATTGAAAAACAAAAATGTTATCAAGGTATGAAAACATTGAGGTAAAATCTTGGTTCTGATAATCTTGATAACTACAGCTTTTGAAGAGATGACTAATATGCATTCATAGTAGATACTACTCATAATGTTTAGGAAGATTAGTATTACCCAAAGAAATTAAAGGGATATGTAAAATAATTTCATTAAAATTTAGAACAAAACACTTAATCCCTGCTGTAATCAGAATACTATTATAAATTACAATGTTTTTTTCCCTTTATGTTGGCTTATTTCTGCTATGAAGGAAGCCCATCCCTAGTCTCTCCTCTTCAGCATTCATTCAAATCATTAGACAGCATAATCTCCACAACAAAAAATGTACTGCACTCTTGTTCCTTTTATGTGCCATAAAGATTTGATCATTTGTAAGATCAAAAAATTCCTAAATCAGAAAAGAATGAGGCTAGGCCTGAGGTGCATTATGTAGTTGTACTGATAAAGAAATATTTTGACACAATTTTTGATCAGAAAAACACAGCTTCATGAAACTGAACCAGTTTCTGTACAGCAGTTCTGAAATGTTCAAATATTGATAGTTGAAAGCGATTTTTGAATTTAAAATTTAGTTAATGGAATAAAATTATATATTCCACACAAGAAAATGAAACATTTTTTCTTGAATTTTAATTAGGGCACAAAATCCAATTTAGCAATACCATGATAAAATGACAGCCAAAGGTGTCTCTTGAGCAGGTCATAAGAATTAGTACTATGTGGTATTCTAAATCACAAAGAAATCTGAAACAACATACAGACAGAAGAGCTGCTTAAAGCATTCAAAGGTAACATCTGAACACATTAGTTATCATGCTGAATAGTAGCATTTAGACAAAACACAGGTATATTCTGAAGTCATACTTCAGAATATATCTTCAATTAATTAACAAATCCTTTGTTTACTTCTTTATATTTACTGTCCTTTAAGATTTGATGCAATATTTCTTACCTGTATTTTCTGTCATCATCATGAAAGTTATAGAAGAGCTTGGGTTGGAAATGAGTTTTAACGTCATCTTGTTCAGTCCCCCTGCAATAAACAGAGAACATCAACTAGATCAGGTGCCTCAGAGCCCCATTCAACCCTACCTGAATGTTTCCAGGGCAATCTGTTTCAGGCCTCACCCTCATAAAAAAAAAGTCTTATATCTAGTCTAATCCTTTATTGCTTAAAATAATTAACCTATGCCCTGTTGCTATAGATCCTACTAAAGAGTCTGTCCCCATTTTTCTTATTCCTATTTAATTATTGAAGGACAAAAAAAGGTCTTCTCAGAGCCTTCCTTTCTCCTGGCTGAACAACCCCAACTCTCTCAGACTTTGTTCATGGAAGAGATGCTCCAACCCTCTAATAACCTTGGTGGTGCTGGCTCCAGCAGTTCCATGTCCTCCCTGTGCTGGGACCCCAGGGCTGGATGCAGGCTTGTAGGTGGGGTCTCAGCAGAGCAGAGCAGAGGGGCAGAATCCCCTCCCTCCCCTGCTGCCCACGCTGCTCTGGATGCAGCCCAGGACACGTTTGGCTTTCTGGGCTGGGGGTGCCCATGGCTGGGTCATGTCCAGCCTCTCACCCACAGCACCCCCAAGTCCTTCTCACAGAGCTGCTCTCTATCTGTTCATCCCCCAGCCTGAGCTGGTAGCAGAGGTTGCTCTGACCTAGATGCAGGACCTTGTCTGGTCTGGTTGAACCTCATGAAGTTCTCATGGACCCAGTTCTCGAGTTTATCCAGGTCCCTCTGGATGGTATCCTGTCCTTCAGGTCTGTAAACAACACCACTCAGCTCAGTGTCCTCTAAAATTTTGCTGAGCATATATCCATTTATCTATATCATTATGAAGATATTTAATAACACAGGTCCCAGTATAAATCCGTGATGGATTCTTCTTGTCACTGATGTCCATTGGCATTCTAAGCCTTTGACCATTGCCCTCTGGATGTGACCATCTGGATACTATCTTAATGATCCAAGAATCTACCCATTGAATCCAGCTATCTCCAATTCAGGAAGAAAGATGTTGTGGGGGACTGTGTCAAAGGCCTTGCAGAAATCCACAAAAATGAAACTTGTAGACTTCCCTTGTCCAGTGATGAAGTCACTCCATCATAGAAGGCCAATAGTTGGCTTCTGTCTTTTTCTATCTGTGGTTGTTTCTGCAGATCAGCTCCCTGTCCTCTATGTGCCTTAGCATAGTTTCTTGGAGGGTCATTCCATGATCTTCCTAGGCACAGAGATGCAACTGAGAGGGTGGTACTTCTCAGACTTTTCCTTTCTATAGATGAGCACAACATTCCCTTTTTCCAGCTGCCTGGTTGGAACCTGACAATCAGAATTTTTCAAATGTCATGGAGAATGCCTTAGCAAGTGTATCAGCCAATTCCCTCAGAACTCTAGTTCTCAGATCAAGATTCATTCATTCCCAGTGCATTTCACCAGGTCCTATAGTCTTATACACAGGTGTATAAGGCTCCTCAGGTGGTAAGGAATCTGATCCCTACTTACAGTGGAAGAGACATTGTTTCTGCCAGTCCCATCCTGCTGTCCATTCACTTGAAAGCTGTGAGAAGTTGCTGTTGAAGACTGTGTCATAAAAGTTGAGTTCCTCAGACATCTCTGCATCTATTGTTGCGGTTTTCCAGCACTGTACAACTTCTTTGACTTTTCTGATTAATGTATCTGTAGAAGACCTTCTTACTCTGTGCCCCTTGCTAATTTCAATTCCAGGTTCATCTTGGTCTTTCTCACCCCACCCACAACTGTGGAGTTGTGTTTTTATATGTTTTATTACATTTTTATTCTGTCATGGTTTGTTGCAGCGTACCCCCATATTGTATTGATTTCTCCCTGAGTTTTCCCGCCTTCCCTCATGTGTCAGTCTCCCTAGAAAATGCCAAGTCATTTCCCTGTCCCCTCCCAGGTGCCTTGTCCGTCACTCGGTGTCCATTCCCCTACCTCTGGAGACTTCCATCCAGGGTGCCGAGTGATTGAATGAGGGCCTAGGGCCCCTCCCCTGTCCATCCCTCACTGGTTCCCTTGT